GAAGGAAAGAAAGAGGAAAAAAGAGAGAAAGAGGAAAGAACTGATATTAGTGGGATTTTCCTTCAATAAATATGATGGTAGGGTTCATTGTATTAACTGGCAGGGGAAGGGCATTGAGATTACACATGTAGACAAGGCATTACTTTGCTACTGGAATGCGCTGAAGTCAGGGATGGCTGAGTTTACGAGAACTGCACCTGGAAGAGGCCCTGTGCTGTGGCACCTGTCCCACAGGCGCTGTCTGTACCTGCTCTTGCGGAGGCATCTCCACTCACATTTTATAGCTTTCCCAGACTCCCGGTTTTGCCTGGCACCTACATGGAGTGAAAGGGGCAAATGAAGAGAAGGGGCCACACAGCTGAGGATGAAAGAAGCAAGAAGGAAGGAAACATGGCAGAGGCTCTCATGTAGCATCTTGTCTAGTCATTTAATGTTATAGTTATATATGTGTTCAATATTGCACCCTTCCCACTCCAAAATGACAAAAATAGAGCTCAGAGAAATTAAGTATCTTTTCAAGATCAGAAAGCTCATAAAAACGAGTGCAAATATTATGCACTGAAAATATGTACTGATGAAGTAAATAAATAAATTTTAGTAAATAGCTGAAAGACTACAGCTAGTCTGGGTTCTTTCCCCCAAATATCTCACAGACAGTAATTCCTCCATATACCGTATTTACATTCATCATCAACTTGCTTCTTTCTCTCTTGTTTTCTGTCTTCATTTCCTTCTATTTCCATTGTTTTCAAATTAAGGTGACAGGAGAGAAAGCTGGAGAAGCTTTGGTCTGGAATTAAGCCTTATCTTACAACTTAGGAGTGTATCACCTTATTCCCCTGGTCCTTCAGTGCTGTTGGAAGTGTTCCTTCCAAATAAAAATTTCCAGATAGAAATTATGGCTGCGTTATGAAAGAAGAGTGTTTATAATAAGGACAGAGTTAGTTTTTCTTTATTCCCCAAAGGTCTGCCCACAGCTGAGGATGCTGTGTTCAGTGCTGGGGTCTTCACCTTAGGAATGATGATTTAGAATTTAGTTAAAAATTGACCAGGTAGGGGCTGGGGATTTAGCTCAGTGGCAAAGCGCCTGCCTGGCAAGCGCAAGGTCGTGATTTCGGTTCCTGGTACCGGAGAAAGACCAAAAATTAAAAAAAAAAAAAAAAAAAAAAAAAATTGACCAGGTGAATAAGAGACTTTGAAGTCATGTTATATAATATGAAAATGGGCTAATAGCCTCAGAAATTTAAAATGGAAATATTTTGACAGTGAAAATAATTACCTTAAAGTATGAAGTGTAGGCTTGATTTGGGAGAGACTTATTGTCTTATGTTTTATATTACATGAAATAATGTAATGAGAATAACCAGGCATTTTTAAGATATTCAAGAAGTTCAAAACTCCCTCACTAGGTAGGCAGTTTCCAACTGTCACAAGCATGCAAGTGCAAACTAAACTTGCTGCTGAAGAAGACAATTGCAGCATCAGAAGGTGTTCGCACTAGATAACCAGCAATGTCGCCTTCAAGACTGAGCCTCCAGGGCATTTTGTGATTCTCACTAACTTCAGAATATTTTATACCAGGAACGTTTCCTAGTTTAGGGCTGGAAAAGCACTGAAAGTATTTTCATCAACCATCAGTTGTGTGTAGTGTCCTGCACAGTAGGAAGCCAACAAACGTTTGTTAAAAGCCAAAATGCTACTGTTCTCTAGTGCTGCTGAATCTTTACTGTTCTATGGGGGATACAGCACACTAACTTTCAGAGAAATCCACTTGGTTTCCAGGCAGCAGAGTGGGCTGTCCAATGGGAATCTCTCAGCTGGATTCTGACCCATCTCCTGCTAGTTCTAGGTGACAGAGTGCTATTATTCAAGCAAAGATGGACCACAAGCCTAGTGAGTTTTTCAGCATGCCAAGAATCTGGGAAATTAGTTCTGTATATGGAAGGCTTGCATTTCCTTCATTTACCTCTCAAACCTTTTTCTGAAACACAGTAAATTCAAGGGGAAAAAATATATTCCATCTTCCAACATCTCAGTTCCCACTGGGCTGAGAATAGAGAAAAAAATGAACAGCAATATGAAGAGAATGATGCTTAAAACAGAAATTGGGACATAGGGGGAGGAGGAGAAGCAAGTCCATCCCAGCTGAAAGATTTCCTTAACATGTAATTGTGGTCTTATCTGAAAGCAGTTTCCTGGAAGTGTACATTTAGCTTCCAGGATAAATAGGAAGCTCAAAAGTGCAGCTCTGTGTTGAGGCTACTGTTGCCATGGCGTAAATTAAATACAGGGGAAATGAGAGTAGTTTGTTTTTGTCCTGGAATAAGACCTTACCACTTCTCCACAGCTCTGTGAAAGGCTGAGGAATCTGTAGCACACATACTGACAGCATGTGGGATGGATTACATTTGATCTCTCTTCAAGATGGATAATAAAAGGTTTAATTGTTTCCATTTTTTTACAGTGTAATGGATGGATGGAGGAGGAAGATGTCTTGAGAGTTTGCTCATTTAAAGCAGTGATTGCAATATTGTTCTAGAAAGTGGGAAATGATGTGAAGAAAGTTGAAGAAAGAGCATGCAGAGGTCTGCTGACTCTGAGGATTCTCTGTTCCTCTGCCCAGGTATCGGGCTTGGAAACTGAATGTCACCGTCTAATAGCTCAATTGCTTTCAGCCCTCATCATCTTTTGCCAGCAAGAATGTAACAGCCTTTTAATTGGTGTCTCTTCCTCCTGCATCTTCCTTCCTCTACTCCCCAGCCAGAGGGTTCCTGTAACGGCGATAATGCCACTGTGCTCTCCCTCATTTAAAAACCTTATAGTGCCCGCCTACCAGATATACTATGGATCCTCACCATGGATGCAAACCCCCAGCTGGCTCTCCACCTTCATCCTCCTCAACTCCTTCTCTGGATTATTGTTCATCAAGGGCACGGCTCTGCTTGAAAGCCTCTGGTGAAATCCCATTCTTTCTCTCTGAATTTCTGTCACCCTATCTCTAAGGACTGTTCTTTTCCTCCCTCTTCCTCAAACAATTCACCCTTTGAGAAAATTCAGGCTTCATTCATTCTCACCTCCCTTAGCATCCTTGTGTCCTGTCCAGGTGATGCTGTCAATGTGTCCCATAAGAACTCAGTCAGAGCCTCCCTCTCCTGTCATTAGAACTCCCCAGTGATGTGCTCCCTCCCCAATTTGTGTTCCTTGAGAACAGTTCTTCATGTCTCCTCACTTGTGTCCCCAGCCTGTACAGCAGTGGTGGCAAACCTATGGCACATGTGTCACAGTGTGCTGTTTGTTACCACTGAAAACTCTGAAAGGTTCGCCATCACTACTCTAGAGGCCGCATGTGCTGGGTAAGTGCTAGTTCAATGAGTAAATGAAAATGTTTTCCTTCATGAAAATATTATAGTAAAAGTAATGTTCTAGGAAAGATCCAAGTGAGATAAGTATGAACTCACACACTCACACACATGAAATGTTTGTGAGTAAAATGCTGCTAATAGTTAAATGACTAAGTCAAGATTTGAACACATGAACTGTGCAATGTATTTAGCATTTCACCTGAGGATAATTATTATTCCCAGTGCCTCACTGTCCTGCCAATATCATGATCTATGTTCCTTGCATATGCATGAAGTTACTTTGAAGAAGGAGGTGCTCCCCAGCCTGACTCCAGCTCTGAAACTCACTACCACCATTGTGTATCCCTGACAAACCACCTCTTAAAGTGGCGACCCTGGTTTAGCAGTTCTGGATTTGAAATGCTGTGGCTCCAGAAAACATGCAAGAAATGATGCTTCTGCTTCTTGGGCCTCAATTTTGTGTGGCAGGCTGGGAAGCACCCTGGCTCTATGCGGAGAAAGGCAGCTTTCAGGGAGCTGAACCCCAAAGTGTTTACTGCTCTACACATGACTACACGGAGAGCTTCTGCCACCTGCGTTAACATTTAGGGGAATTTAGGTTGATTTCATTACCTATTGTTTGATGATCAAATATTTTTCATGATTAAATTGAGTTCTGAATATTGCAGAGGTTTTTTTTCCATAATAACTCAAGTAGTTTTCATTTGATTTCTATCAGTTTAGCTTGTTATTTCGCACTGTTCTATTTTTCTAGTACTAAGCCCAGGTTTCCGAACTGAATCCCAAAGGAAACCTCCTTAGATTTACAAGCCATATAGACAAATTATCAATAATCAGGCCTAACAACATAGCGGGAAAAGTTCCAGTTGGTAGAGAAACTTGTGAGGAAATAGACAAAATGTAAAAATATGCAAGATGATAAAGGACAAGGGAATTCAATGAAATAAAAAAAATCAACTCTGGGAATTTTAAATCACAAAAAAACTGTGTAGCAAAGTAGGAGAGTCAAATAAAATCCAAATATTATTTAGAAGATTAGAGCTTTGAGACAAAAAAAAAAAGAATATCCACAATATGTGAGAACAGAGGCCAAGAAAAATAATAAGAAACAAGTCCATGTAATATTTTCATAGAATTTTTTAAGAACAGAATAATCCTACAGAATGAAAAAATTACAACAGTGGGCTTCACATATTTAGGTGTTGCCTTTAGGCACAGAAGCTGTCTAAGTGCATCACGCACATTTTCTCACTTATTACTCTTGATCACCTCAGGGGGCAGAAACTGTTATTAAGGCCAGATGACTTGAAAAGGATAAAACTAAAATGCTATTTAACAAGCTCTTAAAACCTAAAAGGGTGAATAATCTACTTTTTCCTTAAATGATCTTTTCTAGAACTCTGTAATGAAAATAGCATTATCTACTTTATTGACATTTATTGATCATAAAACAAGACAGTACATACATAAGAATATTACATGTATTCTTTATTTTTTATAACAAGCCTGTGAATTAGAAGTTACTCTTATTTTCATTTCACTGCTGAGGGAATTGAACTTTCATGAGGTAAAGTAACTTCCCAAATTCACCCATAGTGAGAAATAGAATCAAAATTGAAAGTCATCACCTGGTTTGTTTCTAGCTTGACAATACATCTATTTTAAAAGGCTGCATCTTGGCACACAAACTGGTGTGCAAAAGTCTCTTTAGGTACCCATAAATGGTGTTGGTAGATTAAAGGAAGGTACATGTTTAATTCTACTCTGAAATCCCAATCTGTATTTCATAAATTTATGCAATTTATTATCCCTTCAGAAAAAGATGAGAGTTCCTTGATGTCACATTCTTGCAGCAGCAGATGCATCCTGACAGTTTAATTCTCTAATCTTGTAGTTTTAATTTGCTTCTCCTTGTTTCATAATGAGATTTAATATTTTTATAAATGTTTATAAACTATTTTTATTTTGTCATAATTCACTGATGTTACCAATCATGGATGTTTTGCCCATTTTTCTAGTGAATTTTCTTTTCTTTTTCTATTCATGGGATATTTAAATATACTATACACTAATCCCTGAAAATATCTTCTCTAAGTTTGTAATATTTTTATTCACTGTTTTTCCGTAAAGAAAGATCATTATTTTCCTTTTTTGCAGTTTTGTACCTTCTTAAAGAAATCTTTCTGTACCTCAAACTCTAAAATTGCAAGATTGTTTTCTAAAATTTTTATGTTTTATTTTTTCTTCCATATCTAAGCCTTTACATCTTCCTCAGTTTGGTTTTGGTGTGCACGTCAGGTAGGAATCTGTAACAGATGTTTTCTGAAACAAGCCCATGTATTAGCTGTATCTGGAGCTCACCCAGAGTTCCAAGAAAGACACAGTCTACGCTTGGATTTCTGCCTTAAGCATCTGCCTGAAAATGTTCTCTGACTACTGAGCAGACTTGTTCCGGGTCCAAGGCTGGCTGAAATAGGGCTGAGGTCCAGGAACAACCTTTAGCCAATGGAGGAACACTATCCCAACTTCTTCATCCCGGAAATGGAACAACAGTAGGTTAGGTTTTAAAGACTCCTCAAGATTTCACAGTAAATTTCAGCCCTACTTAACCACTGGTGACAACCTCCTTCTTAATATGCACTTGACTGGCTTCATTTCTCATTCCCTATTTCTTTTCTCCAATCACTGACCTGTTTCTAGAGATCACCACCCACACAAATATTTACACCCATTTGTGATTAAGTTTTGGTTTCTGTAGTAATCCAAACTGTCCTAGAAAGCAGACCCTCAAGATGAAGTACTGTAACAATATTGCTTGCGGACCACATAGCAAATGGGTTCCATTGCTGTAGTAAGTGAGGTGGTAAAGAACACTAGCATGCTGCAGTGTCAAATTTACTAAGACTCTCCCCTGTGGACTGAGAAGCTGCACAGGTGAGAGATGAAACACTGGTTTATTCAGTCCCAACGTGGGAGAAATATGGCAATAACAGTAGCCAGTATAGTGAATTTAGCTGTTTTGTTTCTGATGTCAGATGCATGAAAGAAAACATAGAGAAAATGAGGCTCATGTCATGTAAATACTGGCTTAGCCAATATGGTTGCTACGAAAGGCAGAAGGGCTTTACTGCATCTTTAAAAAGTTCTTCTCCTGCAGCCCAGGGCAGAAAGAGCTGAAAATCCAGGATGACAGTAGTTAAGGAGATGCTGAACTAATAATCACACAAGTTAAAAATAGGGTTCTGGTAAGGATGAGATTAGACAGTGATCTTTGGGATGGAGATATTTGACAATCCTGAGCTCCTAGCTGCTCTACACCCACTGAACCAGCAGAAAACCCTCTCTTTCTTGTTGGAGAAGAGTTAACTTCTATTGCTTAGGAACTACAAAAATGTGCTGACTCACAAGATGAGTTTGTCCTCCTGGATAGAAGTTAAATGCAATGCATTGCAATTCAGTGCAATATAGTAATTGCAATCTCCTATCTAATCAATTTTGCCTAGTTGTCAGAGCCGGTTCTGATGAAGGGCTGGAGAGGCACCTCGTAGGTGGAAATGATGCTCCCGCATTTCTAAAAGTATGCTCCACAGGTCCGTGTGGATGCTGGAGTCTTCCAGAAAATCCACCAGCTTGAACTATTTTCATATTCACATTTTCATTTTTTAGCTACTCTGTCTAGTTGATATTTCTACTGATAGTTCTGAAGCAATGGTGTGTTGGGAAAAAAGCAAAAAAAAAAAAAAGAAAAAGCCAAGGCAGTAGCACAAACCGTACTAATAATCTTCCCTGCTAATTTTAAGTCAGTGATCCTAGGGACACTCTTGATGGGGTATCAGAATTATGAATTTCTACAATTAATCCTGGAGTACTTTTTTTTAATATTCTATGTGACAAAATAGGAATTATGTATGAAGTTTTTACTGCACACTAAACTACTACAGTTATATTACAGAAAACACTTCTTAAATTATTTCCATTATAAGGCAACCAAGCTCATTTAATGAAATAATATTTTGCCTTGAAATAACAAATGATGTAGAAACAGTGGTTTTTGGTTATTTGGCAGTCATGTTCTCAAAAATTAACTGAGTTGGCCTTCCATTTCAAGGCAAAAAAATAAGAAAGAGAGAGAAAAAGAGAAACAGACAATTTAACAAAAAAATAAAATTGTGAGAAATTTATTACACCTTGAGCTCAAGCATTTTCCCAATACTTAAACAGGAGATTGGTGATTTTTATTAAATAATGTGTTTCTTTAAATATTATATAATTAGGTGCAACCACATCTGCTTGACACAGTGGCTTAATATTTTCTTGCCAGATGATCATTGCAGAATATTACAAGATCATGCATGGCTAAAGGATTTGCTCAAAGCGTGTGATAGAACGTGGATTTTATTACAACAGAAGATGAAGAGTTTATGAAAAGTATTTCAGATTCACATCACAACTGTGCTCTGAAAGATTACTACTTCCCAAATTTTAGTGTAATATTAAAGAAGAATGGTCAAAACTCCTAAAAAGGACTTTTCAGTATTCCTCTCTTTTCCAACTGTGTACTCTGTGAAGCTGGATTTCTTCCATATACTTCAACCAAAACGATATATAAGTACAACTTGAATCCCAGAGCAGAAACTGTAGCTGCTTCCCACTGAGTCGGATGTCAAAAGGACTTGCAAGATGTACAGCAATGCCACTATTCTCACTAATTGGAAATGTGCTTGTTTGTCATTAAAGTAGGTCACCTAAATTGTTTGTAATGAGCTTCTTTTTGTTAAAGTGACTTAACACAAATCTATTTCAATGCTCCTCAGTTTTATTCATAATGTATTAGTAGATATAAATAAAAGCCCTTCAGAGTAACTGTACACCAATGAGAGTATAAATGGGTCTTAAGACCAGAAAGTTTAAGAACCAGTGGCCTTTGATAAGCTGAAATGGTTGTTCTATGAGGCCAGGAAATCACCTGTTGACTGTGTGACTCAGGAGGAGCTGGAGGACAGTCTGTTGAGTAATAAAGACTACACAAGTGAGAGGGGCCCGCCTGACCCCTGTAGGTTAGAATGGGCAACACTGGACACCAGGATGAAAGGAGGTCACCATTGTCATAGGGGATAGCAGAGCTGTAGAAGAGCAGAGCTCATGCTGTGACACCTGACGATCCGAGGGAAAGCAGATATAATTACAGTAGCAGAGAGTAAGAGGATCGTGGCCACCAACACACTGGGCTCTTCGCTGAGACTAGGGGACCCTAATATTGATAAGAGGGAGACAGATTGGAAGCCAGCGATAGTTTGAATTATGGAAATAAAATATTTTGAGATGGAAAATAAAAGGCTAATGCAACAAAAAATCACAAACCCTCAGTTTCCAGACTTGAGCCAGGTCTCTGATGAAGAGTCCATTGACCCCAGAAGTCAGGTGCTCTTAATGGGAAATATTGCATCCCCACACATTGTATACAAAATAGTCCCTGAATCCCTTCTCAAAAGGCCCTACATCCATTTACTGAGGTAACGGTGGGGAAACAGGAACGCTCAGATATACTGAATATATCATCTGAGGTCCGGGGACACAAGAAGTCCTAAATCCCAGGGATCTCTCCAGTTGGAGAGCTGCAGAAATGAGACCACGTTTAAATGGAATCCTGGACCGAGTACTGTATATCTATGTCTATCTCACAGTGGGTCCGAGGGGTCTTCAGACTGTTATGTGTTCACTCCTCTAGTTCCCGAGTGGATAAATATAACTTAAGATCAAAGGAAACCTTCAATTTCATTTCCCAACCTGTGGAGTAAGCACCTTTATAAGAGAAAGAGCCAAATTGAAAAAACTGAAAGCGCATTGCCCCAGCCAAGGTAATAAATCGCGCGAGGTTTCATAACCCAGCTGGAATTGCAATGAACAGCGCAATCCTCGAAGATTTAAAGGATGGAGGGATGATGGCCTGAAACATATCCTTGTTTAATTCACTAGTATGGTCCTGCTAAAAACAGATGGATATGGCAGATGGTGATAGACGACAGTAAACTTAACAAATGCTGGCCCTAATCATAGATGCTGTGCTGAAGATAGCATCTGTCCTGGAGCAGAAAAGCACAGCCCCTGGTCTGTAGTTGCTGCTGATTTCCTCGATGTATTCATTTCAATACCCATCAGACAAGAGACTCCAAAGCACTCTGCATATTTGCAGGGCAGATGGCAATCCACTTTCACCGTTTTGTCTCTTCTCTTATCTGCCACAATACAGAATGAGGGGATGTACACCATCTCAGCACTCTACCAGTCTTTCATGAGCCCTTTATATTGATGGCATGTAAAAGTAGAGCCAGTAGCATGAAGATGTCATACTCTACTCCGATTGAAAGAAGATGCAAAGAAATTCCCAAGAGCTGCAGGGACACTGATGAAGATTTTAAAGGTCGTGTGGGAGCCATGTGAATGCGGCATTCAGACCTCCTTTGAGAGAAGTGGCAGTAAGGACCATACAGAATGAGTAGCCCCAGCTGCCACCCTGTGGATTCATCAGGGCATCTGTACCATGACCGCGTTTCCCCAAGGTTGTTGCTACACAGTGAAGGCACACATGCTGGCTCAGTCCTGTGGGATGTGCACTGGTTGCTCTAGTAGGTTACTTCAACTAATCACCTCTGTAAGTCTGGTCAGTGCTTCCTTATGGCTGTGCTGCAGTCTTCTGCTCTTTCTTCTCCATCTTCCTGACTTCCATGCTCTTCCCACAGGTGCAGATTTGAAGACCCACCCTGACGACTCCTGCACATTCTGCTTTACCCTTCATCAGCATTTCTCCTAATAAATCTCCTTCCTATTTAACCCCAGCCCACACATCTGCTTAGCACAAGTACTGAGATGACACAGGATCCAAGGGCCAGAAAGGACAATTTATTGCAAATTTAACCTTCCCCCACTAAGAAAGAAGTACACATTACATGGAGTTCTTTGAATTTTGTGAGCCTATTTACCACACACAGAAATGCTCTTCCAAGTCATATCAGTGGAAATGGAAGGCTTTTTGCTGGAACCCTGTAAGTGGTTTGTCATATGCTACGTATCACCATTAAGTATTAGCATTGAGCAACAGCAATCTACTGTGCCCAGACAATTGGACATTTGGAATCCCAAGGGCACAAATATGTCACATGAGGAACCAACCCACACAGCAGTGTCATGCACTCTTGTCCTGGTACACTTCCTGAAGCTCACATGTATAGTATCCTTGGGGTTTCCTGACAGCCGGCAGATATACAAAGAAAAACACATAGACCAGGTTCATATACCGCCTGGGTCTGTCTTTTAGCACTCTAAGCTAGACTGCTGCCACGCTGCAGTTCCACACAGAGGGGTGGCTCTGAAAACCAGATCTAAAGGAAACACCTTGTAGTAAGCAGTTGAACTATTCAACTTGCTTTTGCTCTGCATGGAAGAATAAGTTCTAATCTCAGCAGGTTAGAAACAAATGACTTAGCTAGATGAAGAGGGTCTGAAAGGAACAATGTTGGAAGACGAAAGGCAAGACATTCTGGGGAGAAATGATATGGACAGATCAATAGCAGTCAGCACCAAGCATAAGGATCTTTTGAGGACTGAGCAGCCAGTTAGTATAAACAAAGCAGGAAGAGTGAACTGGCCAGTAGAGGTGAGCCAACCTCTGTCTCTCATCACTCACCCCAGGACTTGCTCAAGGAGCTCCTGAAAGTGGGAGCAGAGGTGTTTAAAATAAAAGTTGTGCATACTTTCACACATGTGGGTGTCCTCTCCTCATAGCTAGCCCAGATATTGTACCACTAAATATATAACCCTTAAATAGTCCAGCACATGCTAAACTATCAACGTCTTTTGAAGGTAATTAATAGACAGCTGACTAGATCAACTGTGGCAAATGCAGTAATTTATCCTACCCGGCATTATATGCAGTCTTGGGTTCGTATACTGTCTTATTCGTTAATATGGAATCCTGTACAAGATTGATTCAGGGAAAGGACTTCTTCTACATCAAAGAAATTGGAGCAATAAGTACTTTGTCATAGCACACTCCTATCACATTTCCTGGGAGCTGCAGAACTGACAAAATTTTAAATAATGCTTGAGGACTCAAAATGCCATCTTGGGCACTCAAAGTACCACGTGTGTGCCTATGATTATTATAGTACTATTCACAATAGCCAAGATAAGGAATCAGTACAGATACCCCACAAGATATAAGTGAACAGAAAATAATGATGATAGATAGATAAATACATAGATGGGTGGATAGACAGAGATAGAGAAAGATAGAGATAGAGACAGAGTTAGAGATAGAGATAGAGATAGCTAGAGAGGTAGAGATGGACATAGAGGTATATTATATCAATATCTTCTTTTGCCATGACAATGAGATTTGCTATCTAAAGTAAAACTGGATGGAACCAGAGGATATTATGTTAAAATATCTCATATTCTCTTTCATAAATGAAAATTAAATTAAATTGACCTGAAAGGAAAATAGTGATTACTACAGATCAGAAAGGGCATAGGGGTGTGGATTCAATCAGGGCTCTCTATCTGCGTGAATGGAAATACCACACTGAACTCCATTAATGTGTAAAATGAATATGTTAACAACATAATAAAAACAAAGTACTGCCTTGGGAATAATACTTTAATTTTATAGATTTGTCCTTCAAATTGCACTGTATATGATAAAGCAAATAGCCATTTTATTTTTAGTGCCACAAATGTTTAGATTGTAGAGGTTTGGAAACCACAAAAAGGAAATAGGATTAATTATTTTCCCATTTCCTTTCCATTGTTAGGATTTGCTGGTTCAGAAGCTCTGGTTCCCAAGATGTATCATTTCTGCCAGGGTGTTAGAAATGTGCAAGTGAATTTAAAGCTATGACTACTCTCTGAGGATACTTGTGGGCTGCTGATGCCAGTGGACCAAAAGATAAAAAAAGGATTTTTTTTGAAAAGGAGTCATTATACTGAGTAGAGTAATCTAACCAGTGAACATGCAGTATATATGATGAAAAGCCAGGATTTCTGTACTTTAAGGCCAGAGAGAAATGTCCTGAGAACTCAGAGGATTCTCTGTTGTCCCTCTTGGCTCAGGTGTGCCTGGTGATGACAGAAAGATAACCAGAAGCCAGGCCCTGCAAGGATGACGGTCACTTTCACTCTGCTGGACAAGCAACCTATAAAAGCAGAAGTGCTGGGCAAGGGTAGGAAATGGAAGAAAATGAACATTCATTTCACTTTTCAGGCTGACTCAGTGAGCAGAACTACAGCTTGTCACTCTACAGTCTAGGACATTTTTTAAACCCTTTCTAAATGCTGTGAAAATCTAAGACCTTGAAGAGTCAGAGATATGACATAGAGAACTTAAAACAGGGAACGAGTGGACCTCGGTGATACACACGACGGTCTGAAATCCTGTGGGGCTCTGCGCAGGCCCATCTATCCTACACAGGAAGTCATATTTAGCTCTGTTGGACAATTTCTGTATCCAGCAATGCTGGCCTTCAAACTCTTGCATCTCTCTGCTTGGGATTTTTCTCTGGCTGTGCAAACATACAGTTTCTGTGCAACAGGCAGGACTGAAATTCCACAGAGATAATGGTCACAAATTGTTTAACATTCCTCCCATCAAGACATGGAACTGGATCTTCCTCGTCTTGTACCTGGGCGGGCTTTGTGATTGCGTACAGGATGAAGGGATGATATAAGGCTAGGTTTCTGAGGCTAAGTTGGAAT